TGGGGCGTGTCATCGCACATCATTTCTTTGGAATCACTCTTCTCAAAACTCTTCTGAGTTTAGCTCTGGTCCCTGCACTGCTTCCAACACTAAGGATTAGGGACAAGGGGCAGTCTGCCAATTAAAGAACATACACAGAATTCTCAGAGCTTGCAAAGGAAGCTTTATTGTTTCCAAGGACACTTGTCTGAAGAAGCCATACAAAATTAGACATTCCTTCCTTGGAGGTTCACTTACCATGACTGTCTGAGGAAGGAGAAGACTTTGATTTGGCTATCAGGACCCTTTAAGGGTCTCCGTGATGCTGTTCACTGATGCTTCTACCCTGGGTGACTCTTCCAAACATCATCACTTTCTTCCATTTCCACTGGGTGTGTAGTATTCATTTAGGCAGAACCTTCTGAGCTACAGCAAAGCATGGAACTAAGATATTTATTAAGGATATTCAAACCCAAAACAATTTGCCTCAATTAACCTACATTTAAAAACAAAACTTACAAATTAAATAAAGACTTAGCTAATTATTCCAATTTTTCATATTCCATATATTGTCCCACCTTTCCTGAAAATCGCTTCCTTCTTGGATCTGGAAAATTCAAGGTGGGAGTAGGTCATGGGCTAAACAAGTAGGCTATTTCTCTACACCAAATGAATAATTTAAACAATTATTGAAAAAATTCAGAGAAAAGGCCCATTTCCTCTTTGAACATCAACCTGATTAAAAAAAAATACAAACAAACAATTTTGGTTTTAAATCAGGGTTTCTCAGCCTCAGCACTATTGATATTTTGGGCTGAACAACTCTTGGTAGAAGGAGGCTGTCCTGTGCATTGTAGTTGTTTAGCAGAATCTCTCGCCTCTAACGACTACATGCATGTAGCTCTGCCCTCCTAACCGTGACAACCAAGAATGTCTTCAAACATTGCCAAATGTTTCCTGGGGCACAGTATCCCCTGCTTGAGAACTACTGGTCCAAATCATCCAGAAACAGGTTACTCTACAAGTAAAGTAAAATTGAGTATTGAAGCGGCTTGTATCTGATCTTCTTGACCAGGTGAATGGCTAAACTGGAAAAGCAGTTTGTCTATTTTGATGCCCCACTGACTGTATCTATCTGTTCAGATCATCGTGCTCTACATTTGTTCTTAGATCACATTTGATTGCCAAAAGCAGGGAACTTCCTTACTCCATTCCTGTGGCTCTGGCAGGCCCGTTTATTTGTTGTTGGTAACATTTTGACTATATAGATAATTAGTGATCCCTCTGGTTTTCTATACCCTTCCAGGTCTGGGTAATTTCTCAGTCCTTTGGAAGACTTCTGCTGTGCTGCTAAAGTCTCCATTCCTCTCTTCTAATGTTGTCATCTCTTCCAACTTCAGATCTAAGCTGAGCCCACACAGCAACTCAGAGAGGATGGAGTCTGGTTGATATGATCAGTGGACATATAGTTCAGGAAGCAAAACTATTGGCTTTGAGATTACAAATGTGATTATGAAAAGGAATCCTGTAATTACAAATTGTTCGTACATATGTGCAGTGACTGCAAGACAGCAAACAATTTGTTTGGGGAAGGATTTTACTGGCTATTTGAAGTGAAGCAGGAATCTAGCATAAAAAAATATTTAAACCAAATTCTTATGTCCTACAGTGTCCAACAAAGCACTCTGCAAACATCAATTCTGAAAAAAAGGCATCCTCCAAAGCAGAGTTATGGGCACTTCTGGGAACTGTAAATCCATGCAGACTCCAGAAGTATGTGCCTTCCAAGGGCTGGAAACTTCTGAATTAACAACAAATAATCAGTGAGTGTGACAAAGAGTTAAAGTGTACAGACTTTACTTTCACAAAGTTTATGACATAGTAAAGAAGTTTAAGATGTAGACCCGAGATTGGAAACTGATGGCTAGCAGGCTAAATCAGGACCATGGATTTGTTTTGTTTGGCTTGTACAGGGCTGGTCTCCTGAATGTCTAAGAGAGGGAGCAGAAAGGGGAGAGGAGGAGAGGGCACAAAGGTGGGAAGGGGAGAGAGAGAGGAAGAGAGAGAGAGAGAAGGAAAGAGGTTGCTAAACAGATAAAACTGACATTTTTTCATAAAAATCCAGATTTCCAGCTTTTCTTTTTTTTTTGAAAAATCAGAAGCTCTGCCAACTCTGAGCCCTTATTCCCGTATTTTCACATGGTAACATATGGCTAGAATGGAACAGCAGCTGTCCCCTTTGGTGAGAACAGGCACTTTCTGGTTCCCTATCCTGGCCCATTTCACTCCCTCACCAGGCCTCTGTCATCATATGAGATGGTCACCCCAATGCAGAGTCATCTGCAACTTTTATTTAGTTTCTTCCCCATGGAAACAAACTGCTGAAGCCTGGAGCAAAATAGCAGCTGTCCCACTTGGATGTCAGGTGAGGAGACCCTGGCTCAGGCCTTGAGGTGGCATGAGAAATGATCAGATTTAGGATATATTCTGAAGGTAGAGTTAATAGGATTTCTTGATGGGTTGGATTAGGGTGTGAAAGAGAGGATTCCAAAATGACTTCAGTTTTGATTTTTACTTATAAGCTGTCCAAGGGGGATTGGTTCCAGGACCCCCATGAATACCAAAATCCACATATACTCAAATCCCTTATGGCTAGTATTTGCATGTAACCTATGCACTTCCTCCTGTATACTTTAAATCCTTTCTAGATTACTTGTAATAACTAACACAATGTAAGTGCTGTGTAAATAATTGTTATACTGTATTGTTTTTTATTTGTATTTTTAATTGTTGTATTGTTATTTTCAATTTAATTTTATTTTTCCGAATACTTAGCATGTGGGGTTGGTTGAATCTGCTAATTCGGAACCCCTGATATGGAGAGACGACTTATTTATCTAAGAAGGAAGCCTACAATGGAATATTGGAACACCAGTATTGACCTTTTGAAATGGAAACGAAATTATTTAAAAGCTTTCCCTCGCTAGCATTCGGTACCGATATCATATTCTGGATAATGCTGACGGTTTTGGGAATTTGGAGGCAAAAGCATTGAGAAGGGCCCGTTACTAAGAAAAGAGAGCTCAGGAGATGCGGTGGAGTATACTAGCCGATGGCGGCCTCTCTGTGCCTCAGCGGCCCCACCTGTCCAGGGGCTGTGGCCTCACAGGACCCCCCTCCCCGCCCCCAGGCGGAGGGGGTGTGCACCTTGAACGACTGAGGTTGCGCCCCCAGTGCTTGGGCAGTCCTACTTCCGGAACTCCAGGGTCGGGCGCTCCCTCATTCCTATAGACCCGCGAGGACTCCAGGATTTCCTTATGGGAAGGTTTTATGGCTGCATCTAGTAAGCGCTGCAAGATGTTCAGATCTTGTTTTGAAACTACTTTTGCATAGAAAGAGGCCTCTAAATTCAGTTTCATGTTACAAATCAATTCAAGTAGCGAAGTCGTATCTGAAGATGTTTTTGTTTACACTTTATATATGACAGAAAATCTCCAATTGTCCATATCAAAGACAGCTACTTTATTTTATTATAATGTGGGTTGATTTGGTTAGTGGAGGCTACCAGTGGCTATAGCCGACTCCCGCTCCTAAGCCTGGCCATCGAGGCGAGAAGCCTCCGGCTGATCGGAAGTCGGGATTTGCGGGCGCGGAGCCCAGAGCGGAGGCTTCCTTCAACCGCTTGGTCAAGGCGGCCCTTCCCGGCGTCCGGCAGCGGTCACTCGGCCCCCGGCGCGCATGCGCCGACCCCAGCGGGCGTCCTCCCAGGCTCCTTTCCTCCCTGCCTCCCTCCCTCCCTTCCTCATCCGGGTCCTGGGCGAGCGGGCGCCGTGCGCGTGTCCCGCGGCCGAGCTGCTAATAAAGTTGCAGCGGGGGAAAGCGCAGCGACGGTACCGGGAGCGAGCGCCCAGCCTGCCCGTGAGTGAGTGAGGGGCCCCGGGAGGGCGAGCGGGACCGGGGGCTGCAGGCTCTGCCCGGACGCGGCTCGCCCTTGGGCTCTAGCGGCCGGGCTCGGACCGAGGCGGGGGCGTTCGGCCGCGGGCGGGGCGGAAACGACCCGGGGCCTATGGGGCGGGAGGCAGGCCGAGTGCTGGCTTGTCGGGGTCCCGGCGGGCGGGGATGGTGCGGCCCGGCC